ATGTCCTCCACAACTAGATTGAAGAACAAAAGGACAGCAACTTGTCTGTTCCCCTTCCCCTAATTCCCCAGCACTGTTCCCATCCCCCCAATTCCTGAATAAAAAAAAAAATCTTTAAAAAAAAGAATACAACCCAAAATTACCTAACATATGAAAAACTAAGAAAATAGAACATACACACAAGAAAATACAAGAAACTAAAGTCAACTGAATCTAAGCTTGAGGCATTAGAACTAGCAGACAAGGATTTTAGAGCTACTATTACACTTATTCTTAGTTAAAAGATGTGCTCTCAATTAATAAAAATAGGACATCTCAGCAAAAAAACAGAAAGGATAAAAAGAAACAAATTGAAATTCTTTTGTTTGTTTTTTTAAAAGATTTTTCATTGGGGAATTGGGGGAAGGGAACAGCCAAGTGGTTGTCCTTCAATCTTAGTTGTGGAGGGCACAGCTAGCTCAGCTCCAAGTCCAGTCGCCATCCCACTGCCCGCCGGCAGCTCACAGCAGCTCAGCTCAAGGTGCCGTGCTCAATCTTAATTGTGGGTGGGCACAGCCCACCATCCCATGCGGGAGTTGAACTGGAAACCTTATTGTTAGAAGCACATGCTCTCACCAGCTGAGCCATCCTGCCACCTGCTGGCAGCTCAGCAGCAGCTCAGCTAGGGCGCAGCTCATTGGCCCATGTGGGAATCGAACCAGCAACCCTGTTGCTTCAGAATTCACGCTCTTAACCAACTAAGCCACTCGGCTGGCCCCCAGATTGAAATTCCTAAAATGAAAAAAATTCCAATTTTTTTGAAATAAAACATTCACTGAATGTACTTAACAATCAAATGAAGATGACAGAAGAATAAGTGAATTTGAAAACAGATGAATAAAAATTTTCCAATGTGTGACTGGGTAAAGATGATGTGGTACATACATACAATAGAATACTAGTTAGCCGTTAGAATAGATGAAATACTGCCATTTGTGACAACATGGATGGAGCCTGAGATTATCATGCTGAACAAAGTAAGTCAGATAGAAAAAAATCAAGAGCCACATGATTTCACTCATATGTGAAATATAAAACAGAAAGCAATAAATGAACAAATAAGACAAAAAACTCACAGACACAGACAACAGTATGGTGGTTACCAGAGGAAAAGGGGGTTGAGGGAGGAGGTAGAAGAGGGTAAAAGGGGTCAAATATATGGTGAATATATGGTGATGGAAGGAGACTTGACTTTGGGTGGTGAACACACAATGCAATACACAGATGATATATTACAGAACTGTACACTTGAAACCTATATAATCTTATTAACCAATGAAACCTCAATAAATTTAATAAACAGATACAGAATCCATCAAATATGGCATGGTACTGTGTTAATTTAAAAAATAAACGTGTAGTCCAAGGAAAAATAATCAAATGTTTGTTTTTTAAAAGACATTAAGACAATAAACTACATAGTAGAAAACATAGGTACTAAACTTATGGACCTTGGGTTCAAAGAGGATTTTATGAATTTGACCTCAAAGGCAAGGGAAGTAAAAGCTAAAAATAACTGAATGGGACTACATCAAACTAAAAAGCTTCTGCACAGCAAAAGAAACCATCAACAGAACAAAGGCAACCAACCCAATGGATGAAGATTTTTGCAAACAACGCCTCTGATAAGGGGCTAATATTCAAAATATATAAGAAACGCATACAACTCAACAACAGAAAAACAAACAATCCAATTAAAAAATCAGCAGAGGACCTGAATAGACATTTCTCTAAACAGGACATACAGATGGCCAATAGACATATAAAAAGATGCTCAACATCACTAATCATCAGAAAAATGAAAATAAAAACCTCAATGAGCTATCACCTCACACTAGTTAGAATGGCCATCATCAACAAGACTAATAATAACAACTGTTGGAGAGGCTGTGGAGAAAAAGGAACCCCTCATACACTGTTGGTGGGAATGCAAATTGGTGCAGCCGCTGTGAAAGGCAGTGTGCAGGTTCCTCAAAAAATTAAGAATAGAATTACCATATGACCCAGCAATCTCTCTCCTGGGTATCTACCCAAAATATCTGAAAACATTTATCCGTAAAGATATATGTGCTCCAATGTTCATTGCAGCTTTATTTACGATGCCCAAAACATGGAAACAGCCAAAATGTCCTTTGATAGATGATTGGATAAAGAAGATGTGATACATATACACAATGGAATATTACTCAGCCATATGAAAAGATAAAATAGTGCCATTTGCGACAACATGGATGGATATTGAGATTATCATGCTAAGCGAAATTAAGTCAGACAGAAAAAGTCAAGAACCATATGATTTCACTGATTTGTGGAATATAAAGCTGAAAGCAACAAAGGAACAAGACAAACAAACAAACAAACAAAAACTCCTAGACACAGACAATAGTTTGTCAGTTCCCAAAGGGTAAGGAGGGAGGGGGATGGCAAATGAGAGAAAAGGGGATCATATATATGGTGATGGAAGGAGAACTGACTCTGGGTGGTGAACACACAATGTGATATATACATGATATATTACAGAATTCTACACTTGAAACTTATGTAATTGTACTAACCACTGTCATCCCAATAAATTTAATTAAAAAAAAGACTAACAAGATCAAGTGTTGGAAGTGATGTGAACTAACTGGAACTCTCATACATTGCTGGTGGGAATGCATACAGCCACTTTGGAAAACTATATGGCACTGTTTTCTAAAAATTAAACATACTTTCCAGACAATGCAACAAATTTATTCTCAGATATTTACCCAAGAAAAATTAAAATATACACTCACAGACATAATTTCATTCAACTCGTGTATTTCAACTGGTAAATTTAAAAGTTGTGAAATATCCAGATTATAGCAAAAAAGAAACAAAACGTGAATACACAAAATAGCAGATGAATCTCAGTTTCCTAGGTAAAAGAAGTCAAACACAAGAGATTCCATATTGTATGATTCAATATAGAAGAAATTCTAGAAATGATACAACTATTGTGACAGAAAGCAGATCAGTAGTTGCATGGAGATACCATACACAAAAATTAACTCAAAATGGATCATAGTCCTATATATAAAAGCTAAAACTATAAAATTCTTAGGAAAAAGACAAGTATAAATCTTCATGACCTTGTATTAAGCATTAATTTATTAGAAATGACATCAAAAGTATAAACAAAGAAAAAATATAAATTGGAATTCATCAAAGTTAAAAATGTCTGTGCTTCAAAGGATAATATCAAGAAAATGAAAAAATAACCCACAGATTGGGAGAAAATATTTGCAAATCATGCATCAGATAAGAGACCAGCATGCAGAATACATAAAAAAAAAACCAATAAAAAGACAAGCAATGAATTATAAAATGCGAAAGGATCTGAATAGACACCTTTCCTAAGAAGATGTAGAACTGGCCAATAGGTGGCTCAACGATTTTTGATTAGGTAAATGTAAATCAAAATTCCAAATGTGATAACAAGATGCATACCACTTCACACCTTTCAGGATGGCTATAACCTAAAAGACAATGATTTTTTTAAATAAATTTCCTTAAAAAGGAAAATAACAAGTATTGGTGAAGATATGGAAAAAATAGAACTTGCATACATTGCTGATGAAAATGTAAAATGGTGTGGCTACTGTGGAAAGCAATTTGGCAGTGTCTCAAAAAGTTAACATAGAGTTACCATATGACTTAGCTAATATCACTCCAAGGAATACATACACCCAAGAGAAATAAACACCTATGTCCACACAAAAACCTGTACAGAATGTTTACAGCAGCATTATTCGTAACAGCCACAAGGTGGAAACAACCCAAACGTCAATCAACTGATAAATCCATACAATGGATTATTCAGCAATAAAAAGGAATAAAGAAGCACTGATTCATGCTACAGCATGGGTGAACCTTAAAAACAGTACACCAAGTGAAAGAAGTCAGGCATAAAAGCTACATATTGCATGACTCCATTTCTATGAAATGCCCAGAATAGGCAAATCCATTGAGACAAGTTAAAGATGTATACTGTACACCCTTACAGCAAGAAACTACCAAATAAATAAACCAAGAGTAATATTAATAATACTTGATTATAAGTAGAAAAACTTCCCTATATCCTTAATTTCTATCTGGAATACTCTGATTATCCCCACCTAAATCATCTGACCTGATGTCACCAGGTCTTTGAAAATATTCCTCAGTAGAGGCAGTTCCTTCTCCCAAAATTCCCAGACTCAAAAAGACCAGGCATATTCCTTGATGCTCATAGTTGCCACTAATAATGAACAAATAAGAGGCATGTTCGTTGCGTTTTCACTTTCATGCAGATATCACTACTTCCTACTGAGTAAACATACCCTCCTCAGAAATCAACAAAATCTAGTGATATTTAAATATTTTATGTTGCATATCAAGTAACTGAAAAGTATATGATTCTTTTACAACAAAACAAATCAGGAAAATTATGAATCAAAACAGTACCTCAATATTTTTACTGGCCACATTCTTCACAACAGCAGGAAACAGCTCAGATGCATTTTTCCCTTTTGCAATCATCTGAAGAATAAAGTGGAATATTAGGGCTGAAACCTTTTTTAAACTATTCATTTGAAAACAAAATGTAAATTTCACATTAAATATTTAGAAGACTGAATCAGCAAATAAGCTATGGCATTAACAAGCTGAACTCTTTTTAAGTCATCTTACTTACCCCAACCATCTGCAGCAAAGAACAAACAATCTCTTGTGTATCAATATAAAAACACAAATACATAGACATACTAAGGAAGAAATATATAGTTTAAAACATATAATATTTATAATAGTTTTCTCTGGCCAATGGGGTTATAAATATTTTAAATATTTGTACTATTCTTTATTTTTCAAGTTTTCACATTAAAGATGTACTGCATTTGCAATGGGGGTGGGGAATAAATGTTATTTTGAACAAACTAGTAGTTCTTTTTCTTTTGGCTTTATTTCATAGGTTCCCCTACTTCTCCAAGCATTACTTTTCAAAGTTCCCTTCACTAAGTCCTTTTATTCTGCTCACTGAAGTTCTGTGCACCACTATTCTACCATTTCTGAAACTCAAGATTTCATTCACCCTTGTGTCTTAACTCTAACCTCTATGGGGCTCCTCCACAAACTCTAGCCCTAACTCTGAGTCCTAGTTCTGCTTCTCTAAGTGGACATCCTTAGATCTGTCTTTCCCATCCCAAACTTGCTGTGCCTAAAACCAAACTCATTTTTCATGATAAAATGGCATTCATGGTAGAATTTCCAACTCCACCAATTTCCCCAAAAACCATTACACCAAACATTATACCAAATAATTATACCCAAAATCATGGAAATATCTTGGTCTCGTCTCACACCTACACAGTAACTAGGTCCTGTTGTGATTTCTTAGTACTCTCATGTCAATCCCTTCTCTCCGTTACTGTCCTAGCATAGGTCCGTAACACCTCACAAAGGACTTTTCCAACACTCTCCTCCTATCTGTAATGTACACCACTGACAGTTTAATATGCTTATTAAAACACTACTTTGCAAATGTCAGCCCCCCTCAAAGATTTCAAAAGTCCCTAACTGCCTAAGAGTTCAAACTATTTCACTTAATATCAAATACCCTCACAATTTGTACAAACATCCCTCTTAAGCTCATCAACCATTATGGTTCTACATCAATACTGCTGATCTACTCACTACCAGAATATTCCCTGGCTCCTTTATGCCTGTACTCATATCACGTCCCCAACCCACTTCTTTTTATTTTTCTGAGTCCTAGCCTTCTATCTAATCAGATTCTATCACTCTTCTTAGAACCATCTCTCCTAACACCTACCTAGCTCACTATAGCATCCAATCTTAACTTCCTCTAGCATTTTTTAATGTACACTTTAAATTTTGAATTTCCGATGTGTTATCTTTTATTTCTGCTTATTTCAGTTTTATCTCTACCTGTATTCCCATTACCTTCACTCTCATTTGTGGGATATATCTTTATGTCTTTTAATAGTCCAGACTTTGGTAACCACAAAATAAAGTTTTAACTACAGGATAACTTTTTGGAAGGGTTCTTTATGAATTACACACCATATCTAAGAAACAATCTAAAAAAGAAGATAACTAGTTTTAGGTACTTACAACAAATATGTTATAAATACCATGTGATATCTTAAGCATTATAATCCCAGTTAGCAATTTGTCAGAGGACTTTTCTCCATGACAGATTTAAAACACTCAGGCACTAGCTAGTCTTTTCATATTCTATTTCCTTACCTGTGATATTATTTGATTGGGGCATTTTGTAAAACCTGCTAAGTATTACAGAAGGTTCACAAAACACTGCAGCTAAAACTTCTTTGTATGATTTTTATACCTCTCTCAACTTTCTCATCTATAAAATAAGAGAGGGATTAAGTGTTCACTAGGGCCCCTTCCTTAAATTATTCAATGATTTCCTAAAGTCAGAGATCCTCCCTATTACATTCTATTCTAAGGCTTCCTCAACTTTATTCTACAGAATGCTATTCAAAAAGATGTTAATGCATGAGGGAGAAAAAAAATCCTATTCGCAAATTCAAGGACACTACGTGCCAGGAACTTTTCTAGGCCTTGGGGACACAACCAAGAATAATACAAAGTCCTCAGCCATTGGAGCTTACCTTCTATTGGGGGTGAGGGACAATAAACAAATGAATGCAATTTGTGAAGAGGTAAAAGAGTACTATGGAGAAAAATAAAGGACTCTAAGAGAAAAGGGAAGCACCAGGGTGTGGGTGAAGTTGCTCTTTTATGGTGTGATTAGCGTTTGCATGAAATATATTTTTCCATCATATTTTTAATCCACCTATAACTTTATATTAAAAGTGGGTTTCAGCTAGAGAACATATAGTTGTGCCTTGATATTTTTAAGCCAATCTGACAATCTGTTCTAGTTGGTGACTCTGGATCAATTGTATTTAATATAATCATTGTAGTTAGATACAGGTCTACCATCTTACTATGTTTTCTGTTTATATCCTATGTTTTTTGTTGTTCTGATCACTGTTAACCCCATTATTTGGGATTTTTTTTAGCATTGAGTATTTTAAGTTTTTTACTGACTTTTTTATTATATCATTTTATGTAACTTTCAGTGGTTCTTCCTCTAGCAATGATCAGATAGATAGATGGATAGATTGACATAGATATCGAAGCTTTTAGTCCATTTAGAGTTAATATTGTACTAGAACAAATAAAATGTAGAACACTTACAACCATGTAAGCCCTTTTAATCCCACCTCCCCACAAGCTTTCTGTTATAGCTATTATACAGCATATTACAACTACGTCCATGAAAACCTCTGATAGATAACTTAAGAGTAAAATTAATTCTTTATGTTTACAAGATGTTTACCATTCAACTGGTCTCACTCCGTATCCATCTAGTATCATTTTCCTCCAGCCTGAAGAACTTGCAGTACATGTCATTAAAGCAGACTGGCTAGAAATATTCAGTTTTTCTTCGCCCGAGAATGCCTTTATTTCATCTTCATTCTTCAAGGACACTTTCAGTGGATAGAGAATTCTAGGTTAACAATTACTTTCTTTCAATACTTGACATATGTTCCACTGTGTTCTGGCTGCCACAGTTTCTAATAAGCAATATGGAGTTATTCAAACCACTTGTATTCAATGTGTCATTTTTTTCCACGAACTTTCAAGATTTTTTTCTTTATTTTTGGTTTTCGACAGTTTAACTCCTCTGCATTTAAAAATGGTTTTCTTTATGTTCTTTATGTCTATCCTGAACTTCTTGTCATTCATCAATTTGGGGAATTTTCAGCCATTATTTCTTCAAATATTTTTTTCTTCCCCAGTCTCTTTCTCTTCTCCCTCTGGACATATTTATTAGATCTTTTGATGTTATCCAACAAGACCGTGACGAAAGCCTCTTCTCACGTCTTTTCTTTGTAATCTCTAGTCTGCAAATGGACTAATTTCTAAAGATCTGTCTTCAACTTCTTCCTCTTTCTGCTATTATATCCATTTTGTTATTGAGTCAATCCAGGATATTTTTTATTTCTGATATAATACTATACATATCGTGGATTTTAATAGATATGGTTCACTTGAGATATTTTGGAAAACAACTATCTACCCATTAGTTACCATCTGGGGAATAAGTGGACATAGGACACTCCCTTCCCTAGCATAATTTACCATCTAATCATAAGTGACCCTAATATTACCTACAACTGAGTATAAGAAAAATATCTGTTCAAGTTCTTTACCCACGCTTAATTGGATTTTTTGTTGAGTTGTATGAGTTTTTAAATATATTTTAGATGTTAATTCCTTATCAGATATATGATTAGAAAATATTTTATCCCCTTCTGTGGGTTGCCTTTTCACACTGTTGATGGTGTCATTTGATGTACAATTTTTAAATTTTGATATCTGTTTTTTCTTTGTTGCTTACCTTTTGGTGTTGTATCTAAAAATCCTCTGATAAATCTAACGTCATGGAACTTTTGCCTTGTGTTTTCTTCTATGAGTTTTAAAGTTTTAGCTCTTACATTTAGGTCTTTGATCCGTTTTGACTTCTTTCATATATGGTACAAAGTTATGAAGTAGGGGTCTAAATCCATTCTCTTGCATGTGGATAGGCAGTTTCTCAGCACCATGTGTTGAAAGGACTATCCTTTCTCATTGAATGGTCTTGTGCCCTTGCAGAAAATCATGTGTGTGTGTGTGTGTGTGTGTGTGTGTGTGTGTGTGTGCGCGTGGATTTGTTTCTGGCCTTTCTGTTGTGTAGATATGTCTGTCTTTATGCTAGTACCACACTGTTTTGATTACTGTAGCTTTGTAGTAAGTTTCCAAATCAGGAAGTGTGACCCTTCTAACAGTTCTTTTTCAACATCATTTTGGCTATTCAGGGCCCAAACGAATTTTAGGATAGATTTTTCTATTTTTGCAAAAAAAAATCACTGAGATTTTTTATAGCAATTACCTTTCCCTCCATGTATAAGACTAAAAACTGGGTGCATCTTATACAGTGGTTGTATGAGCACAAAAACAAGAGCAAAAAAAGCAGGAAATGCAAGTAAAAAAAATCTACAACCACTGTATTTTAGACCCAGTGTTTAGACCCTAAATTTTTCGGAAAAGGGTGCGTCTTATACATGGGGAAATACGGTACACTGAATACATAGATTGCTTTGGGAATAATGACATCTTAACAATATTAAGTCTTTCAATCCGTGAAAATAGGGTGTCTTGCCATTTATTTGTATCTTCTTTAATTTCTTTCAGCAACATTTTATAGTTTTCATGTTACAAGTCTTTTGCCTCCTTGATTAAGTTTATTCCTAGGCTTTTTATTATTTTTTATGCTATTGTAAATGGGGCTTTATTGTAATCTCCTTTTTAGATTGTTCATTGTTAGTATATAAACACAACTAATTTTTACATGTTGATTTTGTATCCTGCAACTTCGCTACATTCATTCATTAGTTCTAAAAGCTTTTTTGTGGAATCTTTAGGGTTTTCTTCAGGTAAAATAATGT